AAGCCGCAATCACATTTGAACTCGTCGTCTTCCTCGTCTACCGTCCTATGTCTTCGTCGACGTTCTCGAAGGCCTATGTCCCCGGTCCTGAATTTGACCTTAAGCTTTGTTCCTGCATCCATTGGTCCATGTAGGTAGTCCTTGAACCCTATTCCTTCCTTCAACATTCCGTACACTTCTAGACCCTGCTTATCCTTGGATTCTTTCCGTTGACTCTGTTCTTCTCTCTCGGCACAAGCAACAGATATCTTCTCCTTGAACCCCTGTAAACCCTCCGTTTCCAGCGTTTCATCTTCGTCGATGTCGAGCCCCTTCCATACGTCCTCTACAACCTTGACCCATTCCGTGGGTTGTCCACCCCTCTTTTTGTTTGCCCACTTCGCCTTCCATACCATTCTCGGCAACCTCTCCTCTCCCATCCCGCACATGCGATACTGCCAGGTCAGCTTCCTCGCGTCTCTTCCGGACCGTAGGGATTGGATCCCCAATTCTGCCCTGACGGCTGCATTACTTGTGCGCTTGGAGCATCCAAGGATGATTTTCGCTGCTTTCACCTGCGCCGCCTCGAGTTCTTTCAACACCGAGGGGAGGGGCTTGTTTTACAACGTCGTTGCCAAGCGACGAAAACCCAACCCGGATGGCAAACACCGGGGATAGTGATGGGGGCGGAAACAATGGTGGCAACACCACCCACGCGGCCGATACGAGCACACTTACTCTGCCTTCCCCCCACGCAAAAAGCAGAAACTCCGAGTAATGTCTTCCATTACCAATCGTTCAATGGCAAGTTCTTGGTCAGCTACATTTAATGTTTCACAGCATATATATATACGAAGTACATATAATTATTTAGTGCTGAGCGCGCAATTCGTTTCAGTAGAGATTTTTTATGTAATAAAACTATTTCGACCACTACTAATATATATTTTTAGGAGACAGACGTACGTACGTACGTGTTGTCGTATTGACTTTTACAGAGAGGCAGCGTATGTACATTGTATATAGTATATCATCGCCTGCTCTCGCACTTTTTCTCAGTCCTTGCTTCGCCCCCCGCCCATGTCTATGTTGCTTTCGGCAATACATCATGATCAGAAGATAAAGATGGCGCTCGCACTTAAGAACTTGGCAGTTAAGAAATGCGGTCTCGAAAAAAATCAAAATCAAAGAAATTGACCACATAAAGATAATAACAACACGTGCGTGCTCAGGCCCGACGTGGTGTTAAGGACAAGAACGAACCCGCCTTTATTTGTGGTGTAAGAGCAGAGGCCCCAAAACGCGACAGCTGAAAGATAATTAGCACTCACGAAGGGGTGAGGGGCTACTCGCGGGGTGACCGGTGGGCAGTTTGTTGCAGATCAGCGGCGAGGAGGAGGTTCCTTTGGAAATAGTGCTGGTGCGGACATGGGGGGGGTGTACTGTTTGTTTTTATTTTTGCGCGTCTAACGGTAGTCAACTATAAAATCGGGCTTACAAATGCCGGCACCCTTGAAGCTTTTTTTTTATTGCCGCGACTGTCCAAATCGTGTACTCTGTGGACACCGGCTGGTACATAGTTTTCGCGGCAAGGCATGGACATTCTCGGGCTTGGACAACCTCGCCTGCAACCAAGCACAGATACAAATGTCCCGAAACTGGGTTTGGGCCGGCGTTTCCGAACCCTGCCTGACCTTGAAGGCTGGCAACGGTGCGCCCGACCGGGTTACGCCAGGTTGTACAACGCCTAGGGGTTACAGGTAACTTTAACCTCCCCGTAACCGTGCCCACTGGCCACCTGTGTAGGCCTACTTCTGTAGTCTGGAGACGCTTTTGCGTTTCGCTTGAGCAAGGTCACGCTGCGGAACAACCTACCGTGCTGCAGGTTGCTGAGATACCACACTCACCCCGTACCGATTTCGAAGCTCGATTACTCTTCAGCATAGTGAGCGACGGCGGCGCCAAAACCGGAAGGGTTACATCCTTCTCGTCGGGGCTTTCCGAAAAGGTAACATCACCAGCTTTGAAGATGGGTCAAAGGGGTGTGGTATCTTACGCAACCTGCGGTACCACTGCAGTAGTATTGGGACGGACATGCTGTCCGGGCCGAACAACCCTGCTTGTGACAAGATATCAGCTGGTGTGATGTTCTTTTTTTGTTGGAAGTACGTGAGAAAATTTCAAGGGTTGTGGGGTTGTGTTGTGTGCTACACCTGGTTGCACGCCCCCCCCAACGGCGCACACCGCCTCAGGTTCGTACAGCAGAACCCGTCAGTCGTTGCACGACTGCTGTCGGTTCTGACGCTGACACTACTCTTTACCCTCCACCAATCCGTGCGTGCGTCTCTTCTCGATTGCGCCTTGGCCAGGGTTGAGAAAATGAGTTCGGCACGGTTCCGCCTTTGTGTTGTGTGCGGTTTGGTCGGTCTGATCAACATCGTCCTCTTCTGCGCTTGCGGCATCGCGTTGGCGAGGGTGCTTCGAGCCGCGGCTAGAGATGCCTACAGCAGCCCACGGCGGCGACTGCTGGCGCTTGATGACGGAGCGGCGAGGCGGATGCCTGGCATGGGGATGGCAATGCTGGCGGCTTTTCGACCCTTCACCACTCAGAAGGCGCTTCTGTCGATGTTGACGTTGTCGGCAGCACGTGAGTGCGGTGCAGTGGTTTGGGGGGGTATTTTCGGTTCACCCGGCAGTGCTTGAACGCGCAGCTGTGCTTTGCAGCTATTGCTTCGCGGTGCGTGGATAATCCTTGAGTGCTGGTCCTCGCCTGCATGTAGTAGAATTTCTTTTGTCGTGTGTCGATTTCTGGAAGGCGATTTAACCGGACCGGACAAACGTCATTGTTTTTCTTCCCTCCCCACAACACACAAGACACACATGATACAACAGCCGTGCGCGGGATACCGGCGGTGTGATGTTGTAGGGCGAAGATGTTGCACCTATACACACGCATAACATTGATGCAACATATTTAGTAGATGTTTCAAGTTCTAGGGAGCGGTACTGGATTGCCGTGCCGATTCGACCTCCTGACACGTAAGCATCCACGAGTGCAAGCAAGCAAAGGCCTGCACGCCGAACAAGTTGGAAAGCCCATCGCTCTGCCCCGTATCCCACCCGTCGCCCCCGGAAAGCAGTGAGCATCGCCTGGGCGGTGTTGGCGTACGAAGCGTGGGACCTTCTCCATGGGACACTAGACGTTTCTGTCAGCCTGGCCCTCCGTGTGGCCTTCTACGGCACAGATTTTTTTCTCGCCGCGACGACGTTCACGCTCTACACCATCCTCGCCAAATTTTGGGCAGACCTGACCTTTTCCGCAAGGCAGGGGGCAGGCGCGTCGCGGCCATTGGGGGGGGGCGATGAGTACAGGTGAGGACAGCTTTGGCTATTAGGATGCGAACGGAACCTGGAATTATCGTAGATAGTTGGAACTAGACGGAGAGCAGGAGACAGACGTTTGTGCCTCCGCGTGCCGCTCACTTATTTCTCATGATGCTTTAGTGATCCAGAAGTCTAGGCAAGTTTTCAATGTAAGCAAACGTATTGGATAAGGTATAGAATCGGCTAAGATGGAGTTGGGGTTGGGGTTAAGGTCTTCGTCCCCCCTGCCTCATCGTTTTCCGTAGCACAGTAAACTTAACTTCATTTTTCTTTGCGAAGGCAGTCCCATTGATCCCCGTGAGAAGAAAGCTGTTTTTAGGTGGCGCGAAAGCATGCTCAGCAAGCATATTTATTTCCTTGATCTTGACCTCAAAACCAGCGATGGCAGCTTCTCTTGATGTTCCTGTTTGGCTTCGTACCGCAGGCCACGAGGGACGACGCTAATCTGGAAGGTCACGCGAGGCGTGCAGCGTGTCTCCAGCACCGTCGTGTTCGCAGCTGCTGCTCTTGCGACAGTGTTGCAAGCAGTGCTTGTGACTCTCGATTGTGAGTCCCCAAGACAACACCAAGGGAGCAACCGGCCTTAGGTCCAGTGGGTGTAGTAGAAGTGAGCGTGAGGCTTTCGTAGGGCAGGTGCATGGTTCTCGACTACAGATGCCGGCCTGTTTTGTTTCCCTCTAGCACATTTGCTTTGGGTTATCCCCGCAAAGCCGCGCTTGCCTGCTCGATCTCGACCTTGACCCGCGCTGAGTTTTGCTATGCAATTGCTGCCTTGCTCGCACGGTAAGCCAGGCAAGCTACCCTGAAATCGATCGACCCATTGCTCGCAAACACCAATTCGACAAGGCTTGCTCGATACTATCTACCCTTGTCTGTCTGTCTGCCCCCCCCAGATAAGTATCTGAACCTGTGGAAGGCATACGTAGAAGGTGGTGTGTTCATCCTCGCGGCCTTTGTCATGGTCACCGCTGCCTACTACGCTGTCGTGGAGTTGAGGTTAGTCTAGTCGTGGCAACGGTGGTAGCCAACGCGGTGGACGGTATTGCGTGAATTATCTTGTTCTGTTGCAGGTCAGCCACTACAGAGGAGCATCAAAGTTGCTCTGTGCAGTATTTATTATTTGCTGCAGGTACGCAGGTCTCCTTGTCGCTTAGTCCTGCACTGACTCTCCCTTATCCTTCTGGTTGTGGCACTGGGCAGGCTGGTACCCATCGAGCTGCCTACCCGTCGACGCCGGGTTTGCCGCGTGGTAGCGATGACAGGATCCGTCGCCGTCTGCCTGGTCTTGCGGGCAGTTGTGCTGGTGTGGGTGGCGAGCAAACCCATTTTCGTCAACACCGACGTAAGTGGCAAGCAAGGCGGTGTGATCATTGATGGCATCATGGGTGCGTCTGCTGCCATATTTAACCCTCTGTCGGTTTTATTCTGCCGTTGAATGTGGAACGTAATGTTTTCCAGCTGAGTGAAATGACTTAAAGAAAATCGACGTAAACGGCGGTGCAAAGCTCACCCCCGAAGCTGGAGACCAAATCTGCTTTCGGAATGCTCCCTATTACCATACCTGCTGCTCTTTCAAGCTCGAGTGGCAGCTACTGGGATGTTCTTTTTTTTTATGCGTCAGCGCGCTGCGTACCGTCAGGAAACGAAGTCACCTTGCAGGACGAGCACAACCTTCCTTCCCTCGCCCCTTCCCACACTTGATCCTGGTGTTGATATTTGATGCTTGCAGTTGGAGATGTTGGCGCTTCTCGGCTACTGGGTTCTCCTCGTGGCGTTGCCGTCGTCGATCGTCTTGGCGTACAACAGAGTGGTTCCCCTGTCGAGCTACTCGGGAGGACGAGGAGGGACGGGCAACGTCAGCCTACGGTGGACGGCCCCAGACGAAGAAGAGGAAGAGCCCTTGATACCACCCGGAGTCGCAACCGGGACTCGTTTCGACGGCTCGAATACCTTCGCGGGTACCCGTATTCCCACTGTGCACAGCTAGATCCGCGGCGGGTTAGAGTGGACATGGCGGACGCTTGACTCTTGACACGGGCTTCACTCAGCGAAGACCATGTACTGCTATGTGCTCGGTGTTGTGTTCAAGCTCGATACCCGCCGTCGCGTTTTTTTTTGTCTCTTCAGAAGCCCCTCGGTGTGTTCTTCCTTGTGTTTCATGGCTGGGCTTTCAATTGCGTAAGTACCTCGCCTTCGTTTTCTGTGTTTTATCTGTTTCTTGACGCGGTTTGATCCCTTCGAACAGCGATTGGTAGCGTTGGCGAGAATTGTCACGAACAAGCGCGCTCTTGCTGTGTTGTTCACCGAGGTATGCATGTTTGCGAACACCATTTGTGGGGATTTCTTAATAGGATAAACACGTGCACTCTCACGGGGAGTTAGATGACTTCTAGGACGTATCCGCTGGACCGCAGGCTTGAGCATCGTAATGTCGCCTGGTACTGCATTGGTGTGCCCCTGCTTGGGCTTGGTGCTTGTTGCAAGCCGGCCTGGTACCCCCGGTACCCCCATTACTTCACCGTTGCGAACAGCAGTAGGAGCAGAGATTTGCTAGAATGCGGCTGAAGAACGGCTTGGACGCCACCGCCGTTATGCAACAGGAAGTGGGTGCTACTTGCGTGTGCATGCATGAAAGGGGTAGATGGAACCAGGGGGGGTGTCACATCGCTGGCGCCCGCAGTTTGTTAGTTTAAACGTCAGTTTGCCGTCGAAGCTCACCGTCTTCAACTGAGTCGACACACGAGAGCTCCGTGCTGTGGCTTGAATGGGAGGTTTCTTTGTAGGACTGACCCTGGTGAGCTCTCCTTATAAAACGCTGAGACCCCTAGATCTACTCTGTGTCGGAAGTTTTTTCTTCGTGTCTTATTTCCCGGTTTCGGCTGGCTTTGTATGTTGAGCTACAGGTTTCACACAGATTCTCTCCCTTCAAAATATGTGCTTTTCCGCCGGGACACCCTCCGTCGAAAGTCAGTTCAACGTGATTGGAGTAAGCAGGTAAGGGATGTATCTCTCCATGCATTGCTCAGATGTTTCGTATGTTGATATCTCGTCAAGGTTGTGGGATTTGGATGCTGTGTCCACCATGGGCGGTTAAATATACACAAGAGGTCGTCGAACGCTTTGAGCAGCTGTTCCCAAGCACTTCAAAGGATGTCGATTTCCGCGGTTTTCGCTATTTCAAGAAGTAGAGGAGTGCTGCTTTATTCCTTTATGTTCGACGACTCGCATGGCTCAGACACGCAGATACACCACGCACGACTAGCACAAAGCAGGGAGCACGAGTCCCACAGCAGGATGAGAGGGCTCAGGGCCCATAGGTAGGGCTAGGCGGGGACGTATTATATAAATTTTCGCGCGAAGCGCGAAAAAAATTGAAGAGGCGTTTTCCCGGTCGGGCTGTTTTTTGGCTGTTTTTTTCCACTCCCCCCGATCCACTGTTTTGGGCATATGTCCTTGAAATGTGAGCCGATTTCGAAACGGCTTCTTGCACTGCATTCCCAGGCACGTCTAGCATACCGTCCAACTTAATATTATTGTTGAAAGACGGCAGATGGTGCCGGAAAAAAAACACACATTTTTACAAACATAAAAACACACACATATTTTCCCGCTGGCCCATTCTCTTGGCTGAGAGCAGTTGTCAGCAGGGCAGCGTATCTTGCCTTCCTTTCTTTGATCTACCGGACGTAGAGGCAGGCGCCGATCTCCCGCGAACCCCGTAAGGACAGATGAGCTTTTGGGGATGCGTGACGTTCGTCGGAATTCTGGAATATCCATCCTTGATCTTGTTTCAATCTCTTCCGGAATTTTGGTAGTCTATGTGTCTGCCTTGGTCTGCCGAGAATTTTTTTCCCGCGCTTGTTTCTGTCGCTTTGCCTCTGCCTCTGCCTGCCCCTGTCTCGGTCTCTGTCCCTGAGGTGGATACTCAGAAAACTGCACTTGATAGTCTAGACTACAGCAGCACAAGCAGTAGACCCTCGCCTGTCTCTCTTCTTATTGTCTTCAGCAGCGGCAGTAGGGGGCACAGGCAAGCTTCCCAGCAGCGCACTGCTGCAAGATACCTACCATTAAATAGAACTTCGGCCCGTGCTGCTGCTGTAGGTATGTGCGTGTGTTTAGGCTCCTGCTGTATGTATATGTGCTTGCGTGTATACAGTGATGCAAAGGGGCCCGCCTTTAAGAACGTCACTCTCCGGTCCAGCCTCAAATTCTTCTTGAGGGCTCAAACCCAGGGTACGTTGCCCAATTTCTTGTGTCATGCTGCAGAATCCTGCTGAGTTTCAATTTATCAAGCTTTAACGGCCCTCACGAGAGGCGGCGGAGAGCGCCATCAAACCCATACAGCAGACAGCATATCGTGGTTCGCGACAGGTGCCAGGCAGCGCCAGAACCGGCAGGAGGGTGGGGGAGGGGGCGCCGCAACCCCCCCCCCCTATAAAGTAATGCACTACATACCGTATTGTATACGTTGCGAAGGGGGGGTAGCACATGGAAGAGGGGGGAAAAGCGAGAGCTATAGTAGGAGCTATGTGAGGTCTTTTTTATTCGACACACTCCCCCATGAACTCTCGTCTCCTACGTAGTACGTAGCGGTCGCTCCTGTTATCGTACTGATGTTAAGGAGTGTTGCTGTAGGGCTTAGATAGGGCACATCTTGGTCTAGAATAGGATGTGAGTTGTCCGGGAGGTTATCTCTGAGGGACCATACCACATCAGAACTCAGCTATCTGCATGCCCCCTAGTTAACAGGAGGATCCCCTCCTCAACCAGACCTTCCTCGCTCTCAATTCAAGCAACATGTCATTTCTACACAATCGTGGAGACAAGGTATCAAGCGACCGTACCTCTTTCTTTACCTATGGACCCACTGCTTCCAACAGCTGGAGCTCCTTTATATCTGGCGTCGTCTGCACGTTATATCCAGAAGCTGGCTGCTGCGTGGGATACCGAGGACAAGACTTCGGGCATTGACCGCCTTCTTAGTTTCGGGGTGCCCAACGATGAGAAGTTTGGAGAATACATTCTGCAATTTAAGGCTCTGACGATGACGTTTATGGTGTCTCATACTGCCTTCAAGCCTTCAGCTGCTCAGGTTCAGATTGCTGTTCGAGACTCCATGCTCAAACAGTTCCGGTTATGTCTGGACAATTTTACAAGGACGCGCAGTTGACCATGGAGGCCCCGTTTGGGCGACATGACACTTGTTTGGAGGATATGTGGGAGACTTTGGACAAGCGTACGGTAGCTCACACGCCTGCAGTGAACGGACAAGATTTTTTTGCTGTGTCTTCGACAAACCTTAGGAGTTCTTCTGCTGTTTCGCGTGCTGTGGCTTCTTCGGCGTTGCGCTCGTCTTAACTTCATCTTGGAGCAAGGGCTCTTCGTCTGCTGTGATGAGTGTTGATCCGCAACCAATTGATGACCGGGACCATTCATGCTCCACTACAGTGTTTGGCCTCTGCAAGGCCACTACCGGTATACAATGTCGCCCTCGAGTACGCCAGGTACCAACGAAACTCCGTTGGTCACTAGCGAAGCTCGGCGAGATGCTCTTCGGCTGTTCAAAGGACAATGCCTCAATTGTTTGGGAGAGGGCCATTCTTTCAAGCTCTGCACGCGTTGTTTTGTGAACGCCACTGGTTTGCTCAACCCTGACATCAAGATCCACATGGAGACAGACCCCTATCTTTGGAGTAGGTGGCAAAAGCGCATGACTTCGCACAGGCGCGGGTCAATATCCCCCCCGTATCAATTCATCTTCAGCACGCCCACGTCGTAATGTATTCAACAAGAAATCGGCGTCTAACACAGAGTCCTCTTCCGTGTCGTCGGAGTCTTCGACTGCGAACAAGAGAGGTGGTAAGGGTAAAAACTGACATGTCGATGGCGGAGTTCAGCCGGTACTGCCGCCAACAGCATTCACCGTGCGCCCTTCTGGCGTATCTCAAGATGTTCGTGTCCAACCTACTTCTTTAGGTATGCCCACTTCTGTATTTCAATCCCCCCAAGTTTCTCGGCCCGCCTCTTGGCCGCCCTACTCATCGTCTGCTGGTTCTGGACGTGACAAATCCACTCCGGCAACAACTTTGTGGTGTGGGCGAAAGGGAGGTAAGATGGCGAGCGGTTCATCCTAGCTCACCTCATCGTCTCGGGTTTTAGAAGGAACAAGAAACTTGCCCTCTGCTATTTGTAAAGATTCTCCAGGTGTTGTCAACCAGGGATCTTCTCGAGTAGTACGCGAGCCTTCTTCCACAGTCGTCCGGAATTTTACCGCCGATGCTCCCTCTACCAATTCTTCACGACTTTCGTTGTCTCAGACCGTCCGTTGCCCCCGTGTGGTAGCACTTGATACAAATATGTTTTCCTCTGCTGCCCACCAAGTTTTGACTGCACCGCCGCCGTCGAGATCGGATGGTGGTGCCCACCAAATTGTGGAAGGTTCGTGTTTGGGTGCGGTAGCTCGTCAGAGGCCGAAAGAGAAAGAAGGTTGACTCAAGACCTTGTTGCTTAGAGAGTAAGAGACATGCGGTAGGCCACACCATCGCCATGCAGCATGTCCGTCAATACATTCCATCCGCGTACCCCCCCCGGAGGCCCCGTAGACAGTATACTCTGCCGAGCAACCCAAACAGCCCCCCTGCTCGGTACGAGATACTATCTACGAAATCCCCGACACGACTATCATTGCCAGACAAAACGGCAGACAGAAAAACCAAAACCCCTATGCTAACAATAAATCATCCACCATTCCAATCCAAACGACTCTGCCAATAGAACATGTCCCACGAAATCGCCGGATCTTCCAACAGGACACGTCCTGCAAAGCTTTCAAACCTTTTTGATGTCAAATTTCTACCCCTGAAAGGTCTGTCAAGAGAAACAAATCATCCTCTCGAGGAAAGTGCTCTACCCAATTCTCAAGCAGTCAAAACACGAACAATCACCCTTGGAAAAATACCNAAGGTCTGTCAAGAAAAACAAATCACCCTCTCGAGAAAAGTGCTCTACCCAATTCTCAAGCAGTCAAAACACGAACAATCACCCTTGGAAAAATACCCAGCAAAAAGATCAACATTACATCAGAATCACGTCAGAACGGGGAGGACGATAACTCCGGGAAAACGTGTCTTACGTCCTGACTATTCAGAACAAATTCATTCCTCAGATAAATATTCATGTTTCAACTCAATTGCCAGTTCATATTACAAGAACATGCCAAACCCTCTCTCCGACATCCAATACCTTGACAAAGAAACCACTCCACCAGCCCCCCTGCTGTAACATCCATTCCATCCTGAACATGAAGTCAAAATCAATCCAATCAATCAATCCAACAGCCCCCCTGCTGCATCATTCATCCCGAAAAAAATCAAAACCAAGACAAACCACCTGCGACTAGGATCATGGAACAATACTTCCCCCCCCATGATTCTCACGCAGAACTATCCCATCCATCGCGAAAGCAGAAATCAACATCGAGCAGCAGATCAAAGGCCAGTACCAGGTCACAAATAAAACACATGATGCAAGAAAGGCCCCATCGCTGAAATAGCGCAACACAAAGAACAAAATCAACGAATATTCATCACGAAGTCACGATGAGCGCAAAAAGTCTCCTTGGGGAGCGGTTTGGTCAAGAAATCCGCGCGTTGCAGGTCCGACCGTACGTGGACTACCTTGAACTCCCCCCGTGCTACACGCTCACGGATGAAATGGTGGCGGATGTCGATGTGCTTCGAGTTGGGAGTAGTAGCCGGGTTACTTGCCAAGTGAATAGCGCCTACGTTGTCCTCCCACACCGGAGTGCACCCCACATCACAGCCCGGAAAGATAATTTTCCACAGATATCGCAGAAAAATAGCCTCCTTCATCCCATCAGACATCGCCACGTACTCCGCTTCCGTCGAAGACAGGGTGACGCTCTTCTGCGTCCTACACAGATAAATCACACAGGCACCAGCGAACATCACTATTTAGTGCCCCAGAAACAGACCGCCGGTCGGTTGCCTTGTTGGCGAAGTCCGAATCGACAAAAAGTTCCATGTGGTCTCCTCCCACCGTGCC